TTTATATAAATAACTATATTTATAATTTAGTATAATTATTTTTTTTTAACTAAAAACTAAGGGTTATAATATAAGCTATAATAAGGTTCTAGTAAGCTTTATATTAAATACTTTTTTAATATTTTAATAATAATCTATTATAGCTTATATAAAATAGTTTTAAAAAACTTATAGCTTATTATATATAATAGTTAATTATATATATTAGCTAAGGTAGAGCTATATTATTATAAATACTTTTAATTTCTAAGAAATTTTATATTATTATAATTTTATAATTTAATAATATTTATATTAATAAATTTTATTCTTACTCTTAAAGTATATTATTAATAAAGAGCCTTTATATATACTTTATTATAAATTACTATCTATATATTATAGAAAAGAACTTTAAAATAATCTAGCTATTATTATTAAAACTTTTTTAAGGAATTTATAGAATATTAATATATATTATTACCTCTATATATTATTACCTCTATATATTATTATCTTTATATATATATTATTATATAATATTTTTAATTTATTATTTTATTAAGTTTAAACCTATCTATTTCTAATATATTTACTAGATAAGGTATACTTTATTTACTTTTTATTTATAAATAATATTTATTAAAACTCTTATTATAAATTTAAAATCTAGCTTATTATAAGGGACTTAGAGTAGTAATCTTTAGTATTACTAGAATAATAGCTATAAAGAGCTATTATAGTAGTAAGTGTATATAATATTTATTTATAAATATTAAGCCCTAGCTAAGCCTTAGTGCGCTATACTATTTTAGGCTATATACTTTATTAGTTAATGATTAAACTATTATATAATCCCCTTTTTAGGAGCAAGGTTTTTAAGCTCTTTTTATATAAACTTAGCTATAATAAGTTTCTTAATTATATATCCTATAGGAGAGACTACTATAGCCTTTACTATAGCTTTTTCTAACTAGTTATTATATTATAATTCTTTGTATTTTGCCTCTTTTTAAGTAATTCTTTTTTTCTAAATAATTCCCTTATTTTAGTGTTTTTTATTAATTAGATATCTCTATTATTTAAACTTTTATTATATTTTTATAACTAATTATAGTTCTTTTTCTAGCTACTTATATATATTTTTAATTACTTTTTAATTAAGCCCTTATTGGCTTTAGATTTAGCTTTATATACTATTATAGTTAATAGCTAACTTCCTTATATAATAAATTCTTAAGCTTTTATTTATATTTTTATACTATACTATATATACTAATAAGGGAGGAAATAGAAGGTTATTTGCTAATATATTTATCTATTTTAATTACTTTTAATTATTATTTAATTACTATTTAATTATTTTAATTAGTTATTTAATAATATAATATATTAATATCTATATTTAATAAATAGCTATTATTATATAAGGGACTTAGAGTAGTAATTTTTAATATTACTAGAATAATAGCTATAAAGAGCTATTATAGTAGTAAATATATATAATATTTGTCTATAGATACTAAGCCTTAGCTAAGCCTTGGCGCGCTATGCCGTTTTAGGCTATATACTCTATTAGTTAACTACTAAACTATTATACTTATATAAAAGATAAAATTTTTACTTAACTTATTAATATATATATATCTATACTTAGTACCTAGTTCTTTTAATTATTATAAATTTTATATAAATAGACTAAGTTCTTAAGTTTTATTTTAAGTTCTTTATTTATCTTTTTAACTTAATTATAATTATTTTTAAGTTAAATAAAAATAAAATTAACTTTTAAATTCTTTTATATAATAATTTACTTTAATACCTCTACTATATAATTATTAAGGTTTATTAAAAAAAATAAACTTTAGTCCTAGGTTTTTTAGTATTTTAATATTTATTTAGCTATATTTATTTTAATATATATAGTTAATAGATAGTTAACTAATTATAAATAAATCTTTTTAAATACTATAAAATATATTATAAATATAATATTTTTTAATAAGAATTATATTTACTTTTATTATATATTTAATTTAAGTAGGTACTATATTTATATATAAACTTTTCTATTGCTATAAATAGTAGTAGCTAAAGTTTTACTATATTACTATTAATTTAGTTAAATTAAAATATATTTTATAAAATTAATAAAATAGATTATTAATTTAACTTAATATAGTAAGTGCCTATAATAGTAGTTTAATATAATATACTATATAAATTAATCTATTTAATATAACTTAAATAATAAGAGCTACTATAGCTATAAATATTAAATATTAAATTATTATTAATAAGATAATAACTATAAATATAATTATATTTATATTTATTAACCTTATTATAAATATTAATATAAAAAAAAGTTTATATATTATAAGTCTAGTTTAAACTATTAAAGTTACTTTTTCTATATTACTAACTTATTTATAAATTTATAAATATTTTAATAATTTATAGTTTTAAGATTATCTAAAGTATATTTTAATTTATAAATAATATAAACCTTTATATCTTTAGGAAGTCTTTTTAAAAATAATTATATATAATTATAATTATTTAAAAGACTTTTTATTATAAGTTTATATATAATAGAATAGAAATAATAATAATATTATACTAGGCTTTTAATATATTTTTATATAATAAATTCTTCTTAAAACCTATAAATAAACTATTTCTACTTATTATTTTAATTATAATATTTTTATTTTATATATTTAAATATATATATTTAAAAATTTAGTTATATTAGTCTTATTAAAGTATAATATATTAAATATTTTAAGAACTAATATTTAGTTAATTATATATATTATAAGTATTCTTTTTATAAAAGAAAATAGAATTATAATTTAAATAATTATATTAAAATTAATATTATTAATACCTTAGTTATAAAAAGTTATATATTTAGTTATTTTATTTTACTAGCTTATTACTTTTTATTTAAAATACTTTTTAAAAAGAATAAATTATTATTAAGTGTAATAGGCTATTAGTAATAGCTGTTCTATAGTATAAGGATTTAACTTAATATAATTAATATAAATATTAATTATAAGCTAAAAATATTAAAGAAATTAAATTAAAAGGTACTTAATTAATTAAAAACTTAGTTTATAATTTAACTTTTAGCTATTTCTTATATTTAAAACTTATAGCTTTTATAATTATAGTTTCTTTTCTAATTTTTATATTACTTTACTTATTAAACTTATTAAGTTTTTTAAAATAATTAAAGCTAATAATTTTTTAATTACTCTTACTTTATTAAATATATAATACCTTATATATTATAGCTATTTAACTAGTTAAATCTTTTTTTTCTAATTAATAAATTATTAAATTTAAAGAATATCCCTAGTATAATTGCTTATTTAGTTCTATTTATAAAAATAGTTTAAATATATATTTAGCTTTTAATTTCTAAACTTATTATATTTTTATTAATTAATTTAGTAATAGCTTCTTTAAAAGTAAAACTCTAATTATAAGCTTCTTTATTTTTATTTTTACTTTCTATAGTTTAAAATAATATTTTATATAGCTATTTTTCTTAGTACTTTAATAGCTTAATAATATTTCCTAAAATTATATCTTAGTATTCTTTAAAGTTTTTATAACTTCTATAATTATTTCTACCTCGCGCACTATTATATATAAAATAATAAATTAATATAATAAAGTATATTTACTTTAATCTTTTTAAAAAAGAAAAAAGAAAAATTAATTAACTAATATAACTAATTTTTAAATAATAATAAAAAGTATAATAATAATTAATATTTACTACTTACTATATTATATTATTTTTAGCTTTAATTTATATATTTATATTTCTTTTTTTAAATATTTTTCTATTATAAAAATATAAAATATATAGTATAATAATAAGGCTAGCGTAGGGAAAGTAAAAAAGTATATATAGTAATTTATCTAGTTAATAGTAATATAAGTATAATAAAAGAATTATAATATACTTAAATATATACTCTTAAAGAAACTAATTTTTAAAAAGGTAATAAATACTTGTTTTTTTATTACTTATATTATATTTATTTATAATCTATAAACTAATTAAATTATATACTTAAGGAACTATATTATAATAATAAATTAAAGTAGCTTTACTCCTTATATTAGCTTTTTTATTATTCCCTTTAGTTATAATAATCCTTTTACCTCTTTTTATAATTTAGAATTTAAAAATATAATTAAATTTAATTATAAGATATAGTAATTAAAGCTTTAGTTAAAATTAAAACTTAAGCTTAAGCTTATGACAGGTAGCAATCGCAAGTGCAATTGCAAGCAGAAAACAAGGAACTGGTAATCGTTGATTATTGTTGTATTGTCTCCTCAGAATAGGTTCTATGAAATGCTTCAAGTCTATGCGCTATGCGCTATACGCTACTTACGTATCAGTTGCCTCCTCCCTTTGCATGCTGCTGCTCCTGCGCAGCTTAGGTTAGAATATCGACAGGTAATGTATCGCAAGCGCATATGCATTTGCACATGATGATTGTTCACAAGGAACTGTAAGTAAGGAATTGTTAACGACAGTCGCAGCCGATATTGTGTAGTCGATAGGTGATGTATCGTAAGCGCATATGTTGCATGTTTAAATCAGGGCCGAAGGAAACAAGGAACTGTAAGTGAGGAATCGTTAACGACAGTCGCAGCCGATATTGTATAGTCGACAGGTGATATATCGTAAGCGCATATGTTGCATGTTTGAATCAGGGCCGAAGGAAAGGTAATAAGCCGTTGATATGAAAAGGCGTAATCAGGAATCGTAATTAAAAGAAGGATCGTCAAATCAACAATTGATGTATTGTCGATAGTGTCGAAGAATTGTATTTCATCAAGAATTGTAGAAGGGGAACTGTCAAATTGCCCGTCGATGTAGTGCTCAAGAAAGCAAAGAGGAATCTCAAAACGACAGAGACGTATTGTCGACAGAAAAGGGAATCGTCGAGTCGTCAGCGACGTATCGCCGACGGTATGTGTTTGCTTCAAGCCGCTTCCGTTTCCTGTTCCTCTTCAGTAACTGCTGTGCCTCCTCGGTCCAGCTGAACATCCCCGCTCTCCAGTAGTTTGCTAGTATTGCTTCGGTCACCAACCCAATCCTTGAAGGATTGCGCGACGGTTCCGTTATCCGCATGGGTAGTGATACGACGATACGACTCAGGCATGACCGTTTTGATGGTGTCGATTGTCCCAACGAAACGATTGTTCAAAGCTATTAGTGTCTTCTCTGCTTGGTCATGGTTTACGTGGCTTTTCTTCAGCAATTCGAATGCGAATCTCAGAGTCATTTCACTGTTGTGGTGTATTCTTTCCAGTACTCGGGTTATCCTCACCCATTTCCCTTCGGCTGCTAGCATTGACGCGTCTGCGCTCCTTACTTTCGCTTCAAGTTGTCCGACTTGCTCACTCATTTGAATCCATTCAGCTTCTGGCAATGTAGTAACACGAACAAGTGTTTCCTGGGGTTCCTCATCAGGTGCTACGAAGCTATCGTTTTCGTATTCTTCGTCTTCGTCACCCTTCCAATCCATATCCAGGTAATCCACCGTGTCCGATACGGGAGCGTGCTTCGGAACCGATTGTTTTGAAACAGCTTGAGGCTGCCGCGTGCTCTTTCTTGTGCGAATATCATAATCAGGTCCGTCTTCCGCGACCGCGGAAGACGTCTCGCCCATTATCGATTTGAAAAGGAAATCGTCCTTTTCTTTGAACTCTTCCCTTCGTCGCTTTCGTACCGGATTATCGAGAACAGACTCACTCTGTCTTTTAGGTTGTCGCCCAGAGCGGGCAGCAACATCTTCTTCTGAAATTAGTTGCCGCTTACTTTGTGCAACTAGACTTGGATTTGCCGATCGCTGTAGCAGATCCCTTCCGGAAGGCAGCTGAGCCGGAGGCTGAGTTTGCGTAAACAATTTCGTTTTCGCTTTACCCGATTCTTCTTTTGGAGCTTTCGCCCCTTCCATTGAGGTATTCTCATCGTTTTCGTTTCCTGTTTCTATGCTTGCAGACTTTAACTGGCCGAAATCCCAAACTTTCAAATCCCGTCCAAGACTTTCTCTGTTGTAGGCTTGTTCCGTGACTCGAGGATCGATCTCTGGCCCCAACATACGAGTGCGCGACGACGAGATTGTTGTACCTGTACGCGATTTCGATTCCATTTCGGAACCGTGCAATAGGATCCCGGGTAAACGGCAGTAATAGCGTTTGGTCGGATTTTCTTTGTCCTTTTTTTGCGCAAACATGCCCAGCTGGGCCCATGTGGGCCGGATACCCTTAGTGGAGAACGTTAGTTCCCAGTAGGTTGATAGCACGGACCAGGGGGTTTTGCTCCTCAATATGTGTGCCACCTATTCAGGTGACAAATAGTGGTGTAACGGGGGCCAAGTATCCATATCCTCCTGGTTATACTTTTGTGTTGGCTTGTGGTCTACCAGTCTTAGCTCGCCTTTTTTCATATCGAGATTTCTATCTCCTTTTTGCCATCTCGTCTTGGGTGTACTGTCGGTGGTATACTTTCCGAACGTGTATTTTCGAGCCATTTCTGAATCTGTGTCGGGATCGGAGTCGTCGTTTTCGTTTATTGAGTCTTCTGGTGACGAATTTTTCAATGCCGAATCAATACTTCCTGTCCCGCCACCTGAGAAAGAATCGGTAATAGAATATTCACTATCCTCCTTTTCGTAGTTTTCAGGTTGACTTTCCGTAGAAGGAGGTTCCACGGATTTGTTGTCGTCTTGTTCTGTCGTTTCTTGCAAGCGCGTTTCCTCAGCAGAGGGAGCGTAGCCCCAATTGCCTAAAGCCCAATGAAGAAGAAGATGTAGCTGTTCTGGTTTAAGGCCGAAGATGCTGATAGAGCGATTGTAATCGTAAGGGGTAACTGGACTTGTTCTGACAATACGATCTTGATTTTCATCCGATAGTGTTTCGAAGATGTTTGTCCAGTACTGTTTGTCGATCAAAGGGAAAAGCGAAGACGCGTACTCCCATTCGTATTCTACGTACAGGATTCCTTCACGTAGAAATACTTCGTTTGTCGCATTACAGATCTCGTTCAAAGCGGGATGCGAACCGCCGATTTGTAGACCACCGATAGGTAATCTGTGTAGCCTTGCCGTTTCTTTGAGAAAGTCTGCGACCGTAGCCAACGTTCCCAAACCTTCGCTTTCGAGCTTCGTCCCAATATGATTGGTTTTGTTATTGCCGTAACGTGCTGATGCTTCTTGCACAATTGCCTGTAGCTCCAAGGGGGTCAATTCAGGATGATCGTGTTCTGTTTCTAGGACGGTTTCAAAGGAGAACGCTCCATACGAAGTATAATTGTTAAGTGCTTGCCTTAACTTCCCTAGGAGCCCAGAATACAATATACTTGCAGTTTGTCTATTGGTAATAGATATCGTTTTACCATTTCGTTTGAGGTGTTCGTTCAGCACAAGCCACAGATTGCTTTCATCAAGCTTGGATAGGTATTGGTGGAGTGGCGAACGGTCTCTTGATGCACCAGTCGGCTCGTATAGTGCCACTTGTGTATTGCATGCGCGTTTAACAAGTATCAGGACATCGTCCACATGTACTGTTTATCCTTCAACGATCAAAGAATGGTATAGTGTTGCCGACATGTTCTTTGAAAGGTGAGGGTTGAAATAAGGATTTAGAGTGTCATACCGCCAAGCCCCTAATGCTGATTCACTCTTCTGAAGTGTCAATGTCCTAGTTAAATCAATTTCTATGTAAATAACAAAATAGGAACTCGTAGCAAGCAGAGGCATATAGCGGTCTGCACCCAGTTTTAGGTCCTGGGTTGGACCGATTTCCTAAGCCGTAACGTTTTCACGACGGCGGTACTCAGCTTGCGACCGCTGGCCATAGGTGGACTCATATTCGTTAACCAGGTCTTGTGCGGCATCACCTATACCAAACATTCCTTGCAGTAGCCGCCACTCGTTCTATGCGTGACCCCATCCTTTCCATTTAACAAGATACTGCACTTCTTTGCGTTTGCCACGACCTGGAAGGCCGAACACCTTACGATCAAGGATTCTCTCCACAAGATAATCGCCGGTCCCGTCTTCGTGTTCCTCTACAGGTCCTAAACAGTCATCGTTACGTAGTCTCTGGTATAGGTCTTTACCTTTTGGAGCTGGTTCCAACATTGCTACAGATATAACGGGGTGTATTTTCCAATTTTCCGGTAATTGTAGCTTATAGGCGTTTGGCCTACAGCATTTGATGATTTTGAAAGGGCCTGCACGTTGATTATGCAACTTTCTATTGTCGATTCCTGGTAACTTGTAACCTTTATATAGTTTGACAAAAGCGTAATTTCCTTCCTGCATAATAAGGGGATCATAATGCGCATTATAGCGCAGTTTCATTTCCGCTGCTGCGAAGCCTATAGCATCTGAGGCTTCTTTCCTGATTCTCTCGCGGTTTTCCGTTATATCAGTATGCTCAATCGGCATAGGTAACTTGCCATCATTTAGCTTATGTCTATATCGTACCTTATTTGGAGAGAAAGTAGTGCTAGAATTTGTCGCATTGTTGAGGGAAGTGACTATGCGTTCTGCAAGTTCATCCCAAGGGGTATTAGGGTATATAGCGATCGCAAACCTAAGTGCAATTTCGAAGGTCTGATTGCTGCGTTCTGACTAACCGTCCGTCTGTAGATAATATGACGTTGATACCAATATCTCAGTACCCAAGATTCCGAAGATCTCCTTCCAAAGTTTTGATAAGAATTTACGATCCCTATTAGAAATGATTACTTTGGGAATTCCCTATAATCTCGTAGCGCGGAGCAGAGCTTTTGCCCAATCTTCAGCTGTCTATGTAGTCATTCCTAGAACCGATTTAAGTGCTTTGCTAAACTTGCAGGTAACAGTTATATTGCAATCAAAACTGCTATCGAGTTTCAGTAAGGCTATTACAAAATCAATAGTAATGGTATAGTAGATAATCGGAGGGGAGATAATAGGTTGCAGACGCCTGTATGTTGGATGCCGTTTCGTTTGCCCTAATTGGCACTTTGGGCAATGGTTAATGTACATTTTCAACCGCCGTGTCAAATGTCTTAAGTAATAGACCTCAACGACGCGTTTATACGTCCTATGCAAGCCATTATGGAAATGCAGATCATATACCGCGTGGAAAACCGTTTTCTTGCAAGGTTCTGGTATATATAGTCGCATTCGTACATTCTTCGGATCCTCGTAATAGATAAGATCCGATTCAAGATGGAAAGGGGATATCTTCTCCTTTTGTTCCTTCCCTTCCTTAGATTTCAAGGCATCGTAGATTTTGTCCCATTTCCTATCTTCAATATATCCTTTAATAAGCCTTTCCTTAAATGCAGGCGACATTTCCGCAAGAGTTGTATAGTAAATACCAATGTCGTCAAGGACATTTTCTTCGCTTTCCAGTTCTACCGACTTCGCCCTCCTTTGAAGCAGCTGTAATAGCGCATCTGGCACTACGTTCTTCTCTCCGGGTCTCTAGCGAATATCGAGATCGTACTGGGAGACATATTGGGAAGCCCGCACCAATCGCAAGTTTAGCTTATCTGTGGACGAAGACGACAATCCGGTACTGTTACAGACTCCAGCTGTAGCTGCATAATCAGTAAAGACTATCGGTTTTCTTTCTATCTTATGCACTATTATATGATTGATCTTTTTAAAAGTCTATACTAGACAAGCAACTTCCATTTTAGTCGGCCAATAACGCTTTTCTGCCTTAGTTAGTAATTTCGAAAGAAACAGAATCGGTTCGATAGCATTGCGAAGAAAGCCGTCTTCTTTCGGATCTCCCTTTACATAATAAACTATTACGCCGAACCCTATTTTCGATGCATTAAGCTCAATAAACAGCTGGCGTTGTACGTCTTAATGAACTAGCTATATGTCTGAGGTTAGCGCATTCCGAAGAACGTTGAATGCCTCTATTTCTCCTTCCGTAGGTACAAACGATTTAATACAAGACCAGTTTTTTCGTTCATTTCCCTTTTTAGGAGGTGCACCTTTTAGCAATTCCGCTTTCCTTATCGTCAGTAGTTCCGCAATTTGAGCATAATATGCAATATTCGACCGTAGGTAGTTCGAGAGGCCAAGCTAATATTCCAATTGGTCTAAGTTCCTAGGCATCTCAATACGTTTGATCGCCGCTACGCGTTCCTCGGTAGTTGAAAGGCCGAAAGCATCAACTACTTTTCCCAAGAGCGTAACGGACGGATATTTAAGAAACAATTTCTTTGGTTCTAAGGATAAATGTTTCTGTGCAAACAGGTTGAACACCTGATCTAAGTGCTATATATGTTCTTCAAACGTCTTCGAGAATACTACTATATCGTCTATATAGCAACGGCAGAAACTCCTGAATTCCTGTAGCATCTTATCCATTTTCCTTTGTACATAAGGAACCGATCCTTTATAGCCTATAGGAGCTACATTAAAGGATTCTGCTCCACAGTGTGAAACTACTGTGAATTTGTAGCGATCGAAAATTCGAACTAGGAATAAGTGAAACATGCCACTTCCGTCGACAACCGTAATGTAATAGCAGCCTATTAGTAGTTGGATAATCTCCTCCTGGAAAGGAAGTGGATAATTGTCCGACACTGCAATTTTGTTGAGTCCTCTGATATCGACGACAACTCTTCCTTTGCGGATAGGCGTTTTCTCAGGTCCTATATGTGTTGTTTTCCATATAACAAATACGGGAAAAGCAAAAGGGGTTGGTAGTCGAGACCATAAGATCTTATTTTCCTTATGCATTTTATCGAATTTCTCATCAATTAGTCTCTTAGTATCCGGACCTTGCGGATAAACTCGATGACTAAGCTTCGCAGCGGAAGACTACCAATCGGTAGTCAATAGTACTTCTATCTATTCATTTTCAGGAAGCTCAACTGTATCACCTGTATCCTCCTAGAGTTGGGGATACCTGTCAACCAATTGTTGTATCTGTGATGCCTTTTCCAATGATCCGTACACCGTGACTCTATTGGCCAAACGGGTTTCCAATTTCGGGTCTACTACTCCTTTCTATATGCCCGCAGTAGCTCCTTCGCGCTTTCTAGGAGTTTCTTCTCCGAACTCGGAATCAGCAGCTAATAAATGTAGTCTGGCATCGACGGTATAGGCTTCTTATTGATTATATTCCGAGATCACTCCCAGTCTATGCTTAGCCCTCAATTCTAGGGGCTTGCTATTATCATTCCGCATTAGGACAAAGTCGGTTTTTGTGTCAA